CCCCCCCCCCCCCCCCCCCCTTATTCAGAACTGCCGTCGAATTGGTATAAACTAACAGATTCATTTATTGATCATGCTCTCAACACTAAATATATCTTTTTTTTTTAAACGTTGAAAATACGTGAACATCACGACCTTATATCTTTTTTTAAAAACGTTGAATATACGTGAACATCACGAGCGCATCTGATCAGTTTATAATTCTAGGTCTGGTTTAACGCCTAATGGATTTCGGTGAGCTCAGCACCCGATGCTCCCTGATAAGCGATCATAATAATATCATCCCATGGGAAAATGTTCCGAAGGAAGGCATTTAAAATGGTCTAACAATATGTTGTCAATAATACAACGTATCATTTTAGTCTGTGTATGTGAGGGGTGGGGATAAAGATAATTTGTATACGTTAACGCGGCACTTATTCGTTAAAAAAAACTACAGGGCTGTCCCTTTTTTGTTCCTTTTTTCGGGGAAATGGGATTGACTGTGCGCGCGCGCGTGTGTGTGTGTGTGTGTGTGTGTGTGTGTGTGTGTGTGTGTGTGTGTGTGAGTGTGTGTGAGTGTGTGTGAGTGTGTGTGCGTGCGTGTGAGTGTGTGTGAGAGAAAGAGAGAGAGAGAGAGTGAGTGAGTGAGTGAGTGAGTGTGTGAGTGAGTGTGTGCGTATGTGTGAGAGTTTTATTTTTTTAGAAATTTATTTGTATGTCTTTGGGGTGCATTTACGGTTGAGTAGCAATTAAATAAATGAAAAAGTGCTATGACAGTGTTGTTAAAAAAAAAAAATTCACCAATCTGCTGCTGAACCAAGAATCCGAAACAGCTGCAGTTGAAGGCAAAGGGTGATGAATAATGGCCTTCCAAAAGTACCTACACGATTGAAACGGTATTTACTCAGGAACAGATGCTTTCGAAATCCCGTGTTAAACTGGCCTACAGAAATACATTGTTTCCTGTTCCCTATCCTTGAACCACTCTAGTGTCACTAGCAGACTTTTCATAGTCTCAACAGCGGTAGCAAACTGCTGAAGTAGACAAAACGGCAAAAGCTCTAAACACAAATACCACGTGGTCGGGGGTGGTGGTAGTGTTGGTGGAAGGGAGTGTAGAAGCGAGGTGGGTGGGGG